CACGCTCAGCCAGTGAGCAAACCGGCCATCCCTATATAGGATCCGAACCCGTGGCCTTGGTGTTATCAGCACCTCACTCTACCGAGTGAGCCATGGGCCGGCCTTGTACTTTTCTTTTTAACTTTTTTTTTTTTCTTTTTCTTTTTTTTTTTAAAGATGACCGGTAAGGGGATCTTAACCCTTGACTTGGTGTTGTCAGCACCATGCTCACCCAGTGAGCTAACCGGCCATCCCTATATGGGATCCAAACCCGGGGCCTTGGTGTTATCAGCACCGCACTCTCCCGAGTGAGCCACAGGCCAGCCCTCTTTTTAACTTTTATAATAAATGGCTATCATTTTTACAAAAGGAATCCAGTTGTTTTTCAAAGAAAAAGGGTTTTTTTAATCTCCAAAATGATCTCGTTAATTTAACTCTCACTGTGATATTTTTTTCTTTTTCTTTCTTGCTATCATTTCCTCTGTGGAAATATTAAAACAATGCTCACCATACTGTCATGACTCCTGTCTGGTGTCATCAGTTTCAGATTTTTTCTTAGGGACATCTATCATTAAACGAGGTAAACATTATTTTTTTTCAAATAAAAATGGATGGTATTGCTGTCTTTCCCCTAATCTCAACAGATACATTCATCATTCCCGCCTGGTGCTCTGCCTAACACCTATCAGATGCTGGATTCATTTGGTACAAATCTGTTTCCACCACAAGTCTCTAATTTCCTATCTTTGTTTTACTCGTTACATTGAACATAGTGGGTGCACAATCAATATTTGTTAAACTAAAACAGCAGCACAGGGCTGGCGGGTCAGCTCACTGGGTGAAGTGTGATGCTAACACCAAAGTCAAGGGCTTAGATCCCCATACCAGCCAGCTGCCAAAAAATTTTTAAAAACAGAAACATCATTACTCCAATAGGCTCTGTATGAGGAAGAGAGGGAAGGAAAAAAAATGAAAGGAAGGGACTTAAATTCTAAGGATTGAGGGTAAGGGCAGAAGGGCAATTAGCATGTAAACCTCAAGGCCCAAGCTCCATCCACTGTGGTCCTCTACCTCCCTGACCACTGGGAGGCTGGTCACTTCTCATTGCTCTGAGTCCATTTCTATTTGTACATCTGTGGGTTGCCAGCAACTTTGTCCTCCCCTGTCCTGACCTGCCTTGGCCTGCACAGTGACATCACTGGCATTGGGGGATGTTGCACAGGCATGCACACGGTGCAGCCTCCCACACCTGCAACCTGACCGACCAGCGGACCAACAGACACAAACTGATAAGATGGCCAAAAAGGCAAAGGCAGACAGATAGCAAAACAGCTAGTATTACAGCACTGCAAGAGAAAGTAAAACAAAACACAGACGTTATCTCTCAGTTCCCTCTCAAAACAAAAACAGAAATAAAACCAGCTGCCACATCTCCATCAGGAATCTGAAGCGGGTAGGTATTTTCACCTGATTTCCTCTTCCTTGTCTCCAACGTTTAAATAAAAAACTCTCAGGCCTGGTGCAGAGGTTCGTAGACCTCCTCTGCTGGACAAGGCCTGACTTTGGCCGGCTGGTGGGGCCTCTCCAATTCTAACCATGCTTCTGTGACCTCATTGCCTATCCTGATTCCATTTGCCACTTTGTGACTTCATCAGTTAAAGATCCCATTTCAGCTACTGTGGTTCAGAGGCTGCAGGAGCCCAGTTCCTTTACAGAATCACCTTTGGGGTGGTTTTAGGACAGAGCTTTCTGCAGATCATCCTTGGCCCCAAGCAGGAGTGCTTGTCCATGCTGACTTCAGATATCAATTGATGGGCATTTGGTTCCTTGTTTCCACTGACCCCTTGAGTAGCTTCTAAAGATTGGTGGCAAGGGTGTCCCTGCTGCTGTTTCCAGAGCATCTCTGGCAGCCCACAGTGGTCTCTCCCCTCTCCACAGACCATGGACAGCAGAGTCCCTTCAGCTCTGGAGCTACCCCAACGACTGGGGCCAGACCCGAGGGACAGTCCAAAGAGTCCAGGAGGGGGAAAACAGTACCTGCTGAGCAGCATGGCTGCAGTCCAGACCCTGGCCAGTGTTGTCCGCCCTTGCTATGGCCCCTACGGCCGGCAGAAGCTCCTGGTGACCACTAGAGGAGAAACAGTGTGCACGGGGCATGCTGCTGCCATCCTCAGGGCCCTGGACCTGGGGCACCCAGCAGCCCGGTTCCTCCGGGAAGCAGCCCAAACCCAGGCAGAGATCAGTGGAGATGGCACGACCTTCATGGTTCTTCTGACAGAAGCCCTGCTGGAGCAAGCAGAGCACATGCTGAAGGCTGGCCTGCCTCGCTCCCAGCTCCGGGAGGCCTATGCCACAGCCACCGCAGAAGTCCTGAACATGCTGCCTTCCCTGGCCATCCGATCTCTGGGGCCTTTGGAAGATCCGACCTGGGCCCTCCATTCTGTGATGAATACCCACATCTTGTCCCACGCCGGCTACTTGACTAGGCTGGTGGCCCAAGCATGCTGGGCTTCCCAGGAGCTGGACAGCAGCTTCAAGCCTGCGCACATTGGGGTGTGCACGCTGCGTGGAGGGGCGCTGGAGGATTCCTGCCTGCTACCGGGGTTAGCGATTTCTGGGAAACTCTGTGGGCAAGTGGCCACAGTGTTCAGTGGTGCCAGGGTCGCTCTCTTTGCTTGCCCCTTTGGTCCTTCCAGTCCAAATGCACCAGCAACTACCCGTGTCACTAGCCTTGATGACCTAGTGAAATTTAGGAAAGAAAGCGAGCAAATACTAGAACAGCAAGTTGCCCTGCTGGCAGCTGCAGATATTAACGTGGCAGTGGTATTGGGGGGAATCGATGAGAGGACCCTTGCACTGGCAGACAAGTATGGCATCATGGTGATTCAAGCCAGCTCCCGGAGAGAGATAGTTTACCTGAGTGAGGTATTTGGCACACCTCTGCTGACTGGTCTGCTTCCTCCCCAGCAGCCAGGGAGGTGCCAGAAGGTTTACAGACAGGAGCTGGGAGAAGGCTCAGCTGTAGTATTTGAATGGGAATGTACAGGCTCACCTGCCATCACTTTGGTCCTCAGGGGGGCTACTGTTGAGGGGCTGCGGGGTGCCCAGCAGGCTGTCTACTATGGCATTGATGCCTATTTCCAGCTGTGTCAAGATCCCAGACTCATTCCAGGAGCTGGGGCCACAGAGATGGCTCTGGCAAAAATGCTCACAGATAAAGGAAGAAAGTTGGAAGCGCCCAATGGTCCCGCATTCCTAGCATTTGCCTGGGCCCTGAGGTCTCTTCCTAAAACCTTGGCAGAGAATGCAGGCTTAGCTGCCTCGGACGTGATGGCAGAAATGTGTGGAGATCATCAACTTGGGAACTTCCTAATTGGAGTGGGAGCTGAAGGGAAAATAAATGTGGCCCAGGAAAGGGTTTGGGACACCCTAAGGGTCAAAGCCCAAGGACTTCGAGCAGTAACCGAGGTGGTGCTGCAGCTCCTAACTGTAGATGAGATTGTCGTAGCCAAGAGAAATCCCACACATCAGCAGACTTTGAATCCTGGCTCTGAGAACACAAAGGAGCGTCCACCTCCCACGAGAAAGAAAATCCTTGGGAAGAATAAGTAGCAACATCCTCAATAAAATAGTGATTGCCAGCAAGGGCACAGTCATCCCCAAACTGAGTGTCTGCCTTGTTTATTTCCTGCATGTTTGGTACTTTTATTTGGGGGTGGGCGGCTGGCAGGTAGAGGGAGGACCTTGGTGTTATCAGCAGCACACTCTAACCAGCTGAGCCAACCAGCCAGCCCCTGTGTTTGGTAGTTTTAGAGTCAGTTTCTTTAGATAAAAACAGCACGAAGGAATATAAAAGTTCTTTTCACTGACTTCCTTTCTGATTCTTGACTTTTTCATTTTGTTTCCGTCCATCAGGTTCTGTTTCTATCCTACGATATGAGCTGGATTCAATTCTGTTTAAGATTTTTAAATTAAGTACATGGGCTTTGGGGATGCAAAAAAATACAGTAATCTCTTCCCAACTATTTCTTTGCATGATATTTTGATATGTGATTTGTCTAGATGTCACTTCAGCACCCTGAGAACGTAAGTTCCAGCTTAGAGGAATGGCTAGTCATTCCTGCTATGATTTGAGAAAAGGAAGGGGATACCATTTTAAGGCCAAAAAAGAAAAAGAAAAAGGAGCTAGTGGCAGGCAGAAATGCTAAGGTTTTTTAAAAGCATCCTTGGCATAGGTAACAAGATAAGAACACACACCTTAGCACTGTGCTGAGGTTGTCGTGTAGGTGAGGAGAGAACTGGGGGCTAGGGCTGGGACTGGACACCCCTGGATATTAAAGAGGGGGTCTGAGCAGAGCTGATGGGTTCAGCACATCCAAGGGTACTACAAAAAGTTAATGGAAAAAATCATATTATAATTCCATTTTTCCACGAACTTTTTGAAGTACCCTTGTATTATTAACCAAAGCCTTTTCCACTGTAACCATCCAAGTCATTGTGTCTCTGGGAAAAGAGCAGAACCTAGGCGCAGAATTTAAGAGTTATAAAGACCCAATCTCTTAGATTCATAAAAACAAAAAAAGCTTTAGACATTTGGAAGAAGAGCCAGATTCAAGAAACAAATGTCTTATAGCATGCATATTAGCTGCAGCAAAGCCGAACAAATTTTTAAGCATTCTGTTGAAACTTTGAAGTGAAATCCTGAAAAGCGTTTAGTGAGCAAAGGATGATACATGCAAATGTATAGAACTATACTCGTTATTACTAATTTGAGAAGTACAAATACACTGATATATCGATACTTGTTTTGTCTTCCTTGTTACATTTTAGTGAATATAACTAAGTACTTTCATATTTACCTGCTGCCCTCAAGTTTCCCATTGTTCTAAAAAACTCTCGAATTCCATAATAATATTGATGATGAGGATACAATTACTTAACTTTTCAAAGCAGTTCAAAAGCACTTTACATAAATTTTATTTAATCATCAAATTTATGAGAAAAATCTTGATTATCTCCGTTGCAGCAGACACAATTGAGCTTTAGAAAAATTGACCAATGTTAACTAAATAAAAGTGGAAAATCCATTATCTTATTCATTGTTTTATTGCCTCAGTCATAAATTTCTCCATTGTGGATGTTTTTAGAGACCTACCCCTTTGATGAGGGAGAAAGTGTGTCTCAAACAGCCCTTTGAAATTTTACAATTAGTGTTTTTTTTAATCAGATGAAAGCCATGCTTATTTTGTAAAAATATAAAGATGGCTCCTGCTCACAGAGAATATTTTAGTTACAAATCCAAGACACATGTACATCAAACATTGTAACACAGTATATTTTAAATGTCCTAAGTTTGATACACAAGGGATGTTTTGATTATTTTGGGGGAAATCACATTGTGACATTTCAATACCATGTCCTTTTCTCCTAGACAGCAAAAGACAGACAGACACACACACACACACACACACATATGTAAAAGCAGGTTAAAATTAACAGCAAGAGCAACCTTACAAACACAAAAGACAGACAGACACACACACACGCACACACACATACACACACACACACACATATGTAAAAGCAGGTTAAAATTAACAGCAAGAGCAACCTTACAAAGGACAAAAAAAGATGCAGCAGACACAAATTTAATTGGCTTATGCTGAGAGCTTAAAAGACAGAACACCTGACCCAAACTTGAAACTTGAAGAGACACAGAGAATTTTTGTCTTATGGGACATGCTGGGGAAGGCCAGGAGCTTGTGCTACTGAAGTCCCCTGACTTTCCTTGCTTCCCATCCCTCCTACAGCTGGTTTGGTCAGCTCTTTAATTCTGTGAACCGCTGAGTTTCCTTCATGTCAATTTCCTTGAGTTAGCCAGAGTTGGTTTCCCCCTCTTGCATTCTAAAGAACATTGACTGCTGCAGAAGGGAAAGAAACATCACACAACAGCCAAGGTGATTCCCATGGGAAGCCAGAAGAGAGGGCTTAGGGACGAGGACCAGAAAGGAGAACTGTTATAAGCATTTGCATTTCTCGTTTCTTCTTGCATCAGTTGGGTGCATCTCCCTTCTCAAGGTCTGCCTTCCAAGCTCTTGCCCCTTAAAGTGTGACCCATGAACAAGCAGCATCGGCATAACTTAGGAGCGTATTAGAAACAAAGAATCTCAGGTGTCCGCCATCCCCACCCCGTGTGATTGGTGTGCATATTAAAGCTTGAGAAACAGTAATCTAAGCAATAATCCCAATTTGCTATATCTTGATTATGCCTAGGATTTAAGTACCCTCTTTAGTGTCACTTGTAAGTGTCCTCTTTAAGTGTCAAACATATGACTCAGGCATCAAGTTGGGTTTTTTTCTCCTGCTGACTATGGAGAAGTTGACCAGATTTGACCTCAATTTAACTGCTTCTGAGATTATAAGATCAAGTTCTCCTAGCATGCAAGGTCTCAGTTCTCCAAAGGCCTTGGCTTTGATCTTGGCTACATATTTCTCTTCCAAGATGTGCTTCTTTTCCATTCCAGAAGCAGCTGAATTTTAGAAATGACAATTCCTAGAGCACATTCTCTACAAAACTTGCCTGTTCTTCCATCCCAGATCCCTTCTAGCTTCATGACATTGTTTTATGGTGCTCTGAGTTGATCTGGCGAGCAGAGAGCAAAGGATAAGATCCAGAGAAAACAGGGAATGAAGATGACAACTTCTGAGTCCTGGGAAAGGAAGGAAGAAATCAGCCTCCCTTGGGTGGTGGAGGCTGAGGCTGAGCAGTGAAAAGTCCCACCCATTTGGGCAACGGAGAACACCCACCCCAGATTTCAATCTATAAAAATAGGAGTCCTGATGGGAGAACAGTCATGAATTCCAAACTATGAAAATAAATGTGAAGAGAAGACTGAAACAAAACAAAATAACTGGAAAGAGTTGTCAGTAGTCTAAAATCCTTTCTCTACAATGGCCTCTTCCCAGCTAAACTGAGTCCCTTTCCAAGAGTCCTCTCTGGGCTCAGAGAGTTCCTTACAACAGAAGCTCTCCTTTCCGGGCCTACAAGTCTGAGGACGCTTTAGTACAGACGCCAAGGGACAGAGAAAGCTAAGATTCAAAAGAGGAGCAAAAACAGACAACTCCAAAACAGGGACATCTGAATGGAAAGAAAGCAAAATATTTAGCTTGAGGACCCAACAAATAAGTAAACTAGTTTTAAAGACTTGCTTGTGCCCCATCAGCTGGACTGACACTGAGTGCACATGTTCATATCCCTAGACCACTCCCATTTCTGCTTGAGCCTTTCTGGAATAGTGACCGAACTACTGATGATGCTTTTCCACAAGTGGGGGGGAGGTGACACTGTGAAGTACTAACTGATAGGCTATTTCCCACCATGATTTATTACAAATTTCCCGTTGCACTTAGTTACCTAGCTAAAAGGCTGCCACCACCTGGAGGGAACAGCTGTCCTGTTACACTAAAATGCCAAAACCTGCAGTAGACAGGTACGACACAGAGATTCTAAAAGCAGCTGAGCCAACTTTCCTCCCTGAAACATCAAGTGCCACCCCTCCTTGCCCCCTTCCCCATCTCCAGGCTTAAGATCCCTTTTCCTGACTGGGAGGGAGAGTAAGCAGGTTAGGGTGTAGGAGAGGAAGATGGTGGAAGGATCTGTCAGGGGTTCTGCTCGCCTGCCAGTGGGTTCTAAGGAGTGAGACGCGTAAAAGGACGATAGAACTTCCAGAGAAATGTGGGGGTCTAAGAACAGAGATTTTCTACTTCCAATCTGGAACCCTGGGCCCCCTGAGGAGTTCCCTGGGCAGACACGACGGCAGAGCTGTAGAGCAGAAATGACCATGGCTCAGGGGCAGCTGACAGAATGTTCTGTGGTGGGAGAGCTGCCAGAAGTGTGTGTCAGGTATTTGGGGGGATAGCCCTGATCCTTGAAGGCATTTCAAGGTTATGACAAGAAACAGGATTGTAAACTTTGGCACAGGCCGGGGAAGGACGGAAAATGGGCTCAGATCACAGAACACCAAGATGCTGCATCAGCACATGGATCTGAGGCTCCTCCTGGTGTGAATGAGGAAAGGAGAAGGGGACCAAGAACCAACTTAGTCAAGGTTGGGACTGATCAAGAAAAACCATGAAGGGACTAAGATGACCAAGAATCGACTAGATTAGTATTCTGTTAGCAGGCAGAAAGGGGGCTGGAAATAGAAATATTGAGAATATTTAGTTAGAGAATAATGGTTACACATACTTCCTACACATTTAAGTTCAGGCCTTGAAAATTCAAACACTCTGCAAAGGTGAATGTTGAATAAGGAATTCAGACACTGTATCAGTCCATTCCTGTTGCTCATAACAGAACACCTGAAACTGGGTAATTTACAAATAAAGGAAATTCATTTCCTACAGTTTCAGAGGCTGGGAAGTCCATGCACAGTCCAGGGGGCACATCTGATGAGGGCCTTCTTCCTGGTAGTGACTCTCTACAGTGACACAGGGTGTCAAATGGCAGAGAATGGCCTGAGCAAGAGAATGAACCTTCTCACTTGCTTTCCTCACAAAGCCATCAGAACCATGCCCGTGATCACCCAAAAACCCGTCAACCCATTACTCCA